GTGGCAGGTTCGAACCAGCCCCGGCCAAACTGTAACAAAAAATAGCCAGGTATTGTGGTGGGTGCCTGTAGTCCCAGCTACTTAGGAGACTGAGGCAAGAGGATTGCCTAAACCTAAGAGTTGGAGGTTGCTATGAGCTATGATGCCATAGCACTCTACTGAGGGTGACAAAGTGAGACTCTATCTCAAAAAAAGAAAAAAAAAGGTAGACACCTGTCTTGGAGCAGGGAGAGAAGATACAGGCTCTAGGGAAAAGAAAGATCTGTCTGTTATAAGAAACAGCAGAGGTATGAACCAGACTGGTTTGGGCATGGTGGTTAGCCCTTCTGTTTTGGAGGTATGCCCCACGTGAACTGGACCGTCCTGTGAGCTATTTCAAGGAGCATCAGTAGGACTGGGGGCCCATGGAGGATATCTGGAGTGGGGTTCAGGAGTAGATTTGGGGACAGATAGGTGTTTATAATCCTTTAGGGCTAGAAGTTGGAGCAGGTTACAAAGTGTCTCTCTGGATTTAGTTGTCTGGGCCTTAGAACCTGACTTAGAGGTTCTAAAGGTTCTTGGAGGGCCTCAGCTGAGACTTTCAAGGCCAACAGAGCCAGACAGGTCTTAGACTAGAGATGGGAGGGTTAGAGGACTAACCTAGGGGCTGGACATGATCATCTGACTGCTGGGAGCAAGGTACTAAATCAGGCTCAAGCACCAGGCTGTGCAGCCAGCAGGGACTGAGGCTATCCTGGCCACATTCCAGAAGCCTCAGTCCTTCTGTTGAGCCTTGCTTCAGCACTGACTCCTGGGTTCTGTCACTGGCTAAGAAGGATCATCAAGGTCATGGCTTATTAAGTATAGGGAGATTTAGTGAGGGCTGAGGCCATCCTTAGCCTTTAGAGGTATAGGAAGGGCAGACGTAATTGGATTCATGGATCACATAAGTGGTGTTTTTATGTGACTCTGAGGTGGAGATTAGGCAAGTATAGTTTGGTGTCTCTAAAAGAGGTATGAGGGGTGGCACCTGTGGCTCAGTGAGTAGGACGCCAGCCCCATATACCAAGGGTGATGAGTTCAAACCTGGCCTCAGCCAAATTGCAACAAAAAATACCTGGGCACTGTGGCGGGCACCTGTAGTCCCAGCTACTTGGGAGGCTGAGGCAAGAGAATTGCTTAAGCACAAGAGTTTGAGGTTGCTGTGAGCTGTGATGATGCCATGGCACTCTACCAAGGGTGACAAAGTGAGATTGTGTCTCTAAAAAAATAAAAAATAAGAGGTGGGAGGGCAGAGTAAAGGGAAGGTCCCTAGGACATGGGGGAGTAGGGACCAGGCCTCATCCCCCTCAAGCTTCACTTGGTGTCACTGATCCACACCAGGGGTCCCTGAAAGAGCAGCTCCCTTTAGGAGCAATAGCATATCTCTCAGGACCTTCCTAGCTCCATGACAGACCCAGATGGTCAGGCCATCAAATTGTGACCTTCATGGACAAACATCCTTGAGCAATTACACCCAAACGAGCATTTTCCACAGCATGACAAACCCCTCTGAACTCTGTGTTCTTCAGAATATCCTTAATGAGAAAGGACACAATTTTTAGAAATGTCCAGAAGTCAGTTAGAGCCAAGTGTGGTCACTAATTCTAGTAATAAAATTAGGAAGTATTGTCAGTGGTCAGAAATGAGACATGACTATGAAGTAATCCCAGACTGGTTTCCACAGGAGCCTCCAACTTGCTAAGAAGGTAGCTTCAGGAGGTTTTCCAAATACACACTACTTAGAGGGTCTGTTTACACGTAAGTATAGACTTTTAGGCTGACTGCCAAGATAAATGCTGCGGTGAGCTTGAGGTTTTGATTTTTTTTTTAAGTGAAGTAAAACTTACATAACACAAAATCAGGTATTTTATTTATGTTTTGAGACAGTCTCACTTTGTCCCCCTAGGTAGAGTGCTGTGGTGTCATACTCACAGCAACCTCAAACTCTTGGGCTCAAGCAATCCTGTAGCTTCAGTTTTTTCTTTCTTTTTTTTTTAAAGTAGAGATGGGATTTCACTCTTGCTCAAGCTGATCTTGAACTCCTGAGCTCAAGGGATCCATCTGCCTCAGCCTCTCAGAGTACTAGGATTACAAGTGTGAGCCAACTCACGAGGCCAAAATCAGTCATTTTAAAGTGTACAATTCAGGTAGTGCCCATAGCTCAGTGGGTAGGGTGCTGGCCACATACACCAAGGCTGGCAGGTTGGAACCTGGCCTGGGCCAGCTAAAACAATGACAACTGCAACAACAAAAAATACAGTCAGGTGTTGTGGCGGGCACCTGTAGTCCCAGCTACTTAGGAGGCTGAGGCAAGAGAATCACTTAAGCCTAAGAGTTGGAGGTTGCTGTGAGCTGTGATACCACAGCACTCTACCCAGGGTGACAGCTTGAGAGTCTGTCTCAAAATAAAATAAAGTATACAGTTCAGCGATATTTAGTATATTGACAGTGTTGTACAACTGTCAACAGTGTCTAATTCCACTTTCACCATCCATACCCATACTAAACCCTATGGCCACTAAGTGTCAGTCCCCTTCCTCTCCTCCAACACCTGGAGACCACTAATTTGCTTTCTGGTTCTATGGATTTACCTATTCTAGTCTCATAAATGGATCATGCAGTAGGTGGCCTTTTGTGTCTGGTCCCTTTCACTAAGCATAATGTTTTGGAGGATTGTCCATGTTGTACTATGTATCAGTACTTTTATGGCCAAAGTGTTCCACTACGTGGCTATTCCATGTGTTCTTGATCCATTCATCCATTGGTGGACATTTAGGTTGTTTCCACTGGATGCGACGTTTAAAAGGTGATGTTACCTTTTGTACCCTAGCTCCATAGCTCTGAAAGAAACCTGTCCTTCTTTTGTCAGTGCATGCCTTTGAGTGTAGGAGGCTGCCCAGGGGTATATCTGCACAGACACTCTGCCCCCTGTACTTACCAATGCAGATCTCCAGGCCTGTCACCTCTCATGTTCCTCACCGTTCTCCATCTTTCTCCACACCTAGGAGATGACAAGTACGGGCGGAAGATCATTGTGTTTAGTGCCTGTCGAATGCCCCCCAGCCACCAGCTGGACCACAGTAAGCTCCTGGGGTGAGTACCCATGGGGAAGTGTGGGAGGACCTTTGTCCCCAGAATAGCCTACTGCCGTTTTTCTTACTGTTTGTTTCTGCTTGTGGGGGGTGGGGGGGGTGCCTTCCCTCTTCTCAGAAGGGAGCTGTTTTATATTGGGGGGATAGCACTGGACTAGGTGTCAGAGTGACTTTCTTCATACAGAAACTGTGATGTTGGCCAGCATCTTTAAGCCTCATTTTCTTCACCTTTCAAAGAGAACAGTAATACAGCCTTCCTTCTTTAGAGGAGATACTTTACTGCACATGAAAATGCTTTGAAAGGTATAAAACCTTCCAGATGTAAGGACTAATTATTATAATTACATGGCATTTCAGATATGGTTGCAATTGTTTATCATTCATATGAATAATTAGTGTTACCTTATTTCTTGACAAATTAAATGTCAGTGATTTCTGGTCCTATGAAGGTTCTGTTAGCCAAGTTCACATAATAGCTCTAGCTGGTCATTTGTGTCTCCTGATTCAAGTACAAAGGCTGGTTGAATACAGAAGTTTGACAGACTCCATTCTGGTAACTGTTCATTACTGAGCCAGTGCTAGGCTCACCACCTGGCAGAGCAGTGACTCCCCTCCTCCTGCTGTCCCTCAGAGCATGTACAGTAATTGTCTTATACTCCTTTCCTGACCAGTTTCAAGCACTCCCCTGAAATTTAAAATTCTGGTCTGGCACTGTCCCTGGCAGCTCTTTGAGATCCTTTGAGGTCATGTGTGTATGGGAGGTGGTGAGGGGTCAGGGACAGGCACCAGAAGGCTGCAGAGGGAGGGGCCTGGGCTTGGAGTCTCAGCTAGTCTGAGGTAAGCCAGGCCAGAGGCTGAGTCCTGCCTGCATTGGTGGAGTCTTTCTCCTTGGCCTCCTGACTCCTCAGACAAGGCAGCAGAGCCTTGTCCAGGTCTCATGGGCCCAGCCTGAGGGTGATTGAGTCACATGCCCTCCCCTCCAGTGTTTTGAGTGTCTGATGTGCTCGGTGACAGTCCCCTGGCCAGATAATAATCTGAGTGGGAGAAAGTCAGAGGATGGGGGTGGGAAAGCACCCACCTCTTGGAGGCAGCTTGCCGAGTGACGCTTCACCCACTCTGGGGCTCCCTCAGGTTCAGGAAGCCCTCTGCCACCCTCTGCTATGTGTCCTTTATCCCTACTGGGGCTGGTCACTGTCCCCACTGACGGCATGAAGATGCTTCCATCACAGAGCAATCTGGCCCCTGTTTTCAGTCAAATCACCTCAGACTTGGCTTTTCCCAGCTGTCCATGTGCATCTGGAGGGTTAAAATAGAAAGTGCCTGAAGCTTTGAAATCAGAATGTAAACTTCAGCTTTGCCTATTTCTAGCTGCATGCTTTGGGGCGGGTCATTTCTGAGCCCTATGCAAATGAGAACTGTGTTTACCTCACGGCGTTAGGTAAGATAGTATATGTGAAATGCCATTGTATATGTTGTAAAGTACTATTACAGTTTCTAGAATTTAAAAATATATAGGTAGCTATAAAGAAAAAAATATAGACAACTATAAAAAAAAAAAAAGTCCCTGACAAACCTACCGCCCAGAGAGAAAACGACTATTAATATTTTGGTGTAGCTACTTTCTATTTTTTTCTGTAACATATATGGAACGCTCTAGTCAGTTTTGTATCTTATATAACACTGTTATCTTGTCATTAAATGTTCTTCAAAGACATGCTTTATAAAAACATTATCTGATATGCATACAAAAAAGTGAACAAGTCTTAAGTACACATAAAGATGAATTTGCAAAAACTGAACTCAGTCTGTGTCACCCACACCCCACAAAGGGTGGTTACCACTGTTCTGACATCTGACTTCACAGATTAGTTCTGTCTACAGAAACATCCTGTGAGATATTCTATTTAGGGATGTCCTGTGATTTATTTAACTGATTCCCTGCTATTGCACAGTTAGCTTGCTGTTCCATTTTTTTTTCCATCATAAAATAGGCTGCAATGAACATCTCTCTCTATAAAATGTTTCTGTTCTTCTCTGGTTATTTTCTTAGGCTAAATTCCTGGATATATTTTTACAGGGTCAGAGTATGCACATGTCATAGCTTCTGTAACATCACTTTATCATCCTCTAAAAGGTTATAACCTCCATCAGTGGATGAGGATATCTGTTTTCACTATAATCTTTGCTTTTTTTTTTTTTTTTTTTTTTCTTTTTGCAGTTTTTGGCCGGGGCCAGGTTTGAACCCACCACCTCTCACATATGGGGCTGGCGCCCTCCTCCTTGAGCCACACACACTGCCCCTGTCACTGATTTTTGACTACAAGGGAGACTAGTTAGGAGAAAGTATG